TTGACAATAAAATAATTTTTTTTTTCAATCATCAAGTTGATATTGTATTTGATCAATCATCTGATTCATATTAATTTTATATTAGTTGAGAATGAATTAATTTGTGATACGAGGGATTTATAAATGATAATGATAATTCATGATAATTTTCCCCCGAATTTTCTATATCATCAGTCTGCTGCGATTTGATATTCGAGAGTGACGTAAATACTGTGGACATTCTCCAAGAGATGTGTCAGAATATATTGAAACACCATCAGATAGACCCACGTGTTCGAGATGCATTACGAACGAATAAATTGACATCACAGAGTGCAAGTTTTTGTCGTGACGAAGTTCTGGCAAGATGTGGCATTGACTTGTCATCTTTCTTGGCAGAAAAGGAAAGACTTGGAAAAACCCACAAACAAGTTCTAGAGGAGATAAGGTCCTTCAACAGTTCATTATGTCTGAGGAATAATTTTGGGGTACCATTGGCGCAATTGGGGACTCCCCATCTAATACGATATCATATATTAATGCCACACAGTAAGAAAAATTGAACATGACAGCACGTAATTCAATAAAAATTTTGAAATAACAATTGTGCATTTGAGTTGATGAATTAACCGGTTGGAAAAAAATTTGTCGTTTTTCTTTCCCGAAATCAACCAAAAACCGTTGATTCCAATTTTGAAAAGGTCAGTGGATATATATGGATTGCAAGCCCGAGCTGTCTATTTAACACTGGCAGATTGCCAAATAATCACACACGCTGAAATTTTTCTAAGAATATAGTCTCTGGATTTGTGTAATAACATCTGTCATTAGCATATTTCGGCATGAACCAATTATATCAGAAAAATATTTGATAAAATGTATTGATTTCCGGGAAATAATGATTTATTTTTCAGCACCCCTGAGGCAAGAGAGACGTCTCCCTCCTCATGCTGGTGGTTTACATCCAGCAATGCGAGAACGTGGAAGAGCCATTCCCACATCGCACATTGTCCCCAGGGTTGATGGAAGACCAGAACACGTTGTCGTCCAGAAAATGAGACCTCCAATGGGTGGACCTGGACGTGTTGTACCACCACCCAGTGGTGGTGGTGGTACCATGGGTATCATTCTGCCACTCTACACCATCGGAATTCTCCTTTTTTTCCTGTACACTATTGCCAAGGTTAATTACTCAACATTTCGCCGCATAATTTGGATAAAAATTATAAATAATAATAGATAATAACAATTTACAATGAACTGGTCCTAAATATTCAATAATATCGTGGGATATTCCTTTGTAATAAATTTTATTTGTGCTGCATTCTGGCAAATAATATTCAGACATGTTTTTCGCGTAGTTTTAATGTCGTTATCCATAGGATAAGCTCATCTCCCCTTAATTTTCATCGGCGTATTTCAGACTAATTGGGAAACTGGTGCACGCTTTCTGGTTTCAGATATTGCGGAAAAATTCAAACAATGAAATTTACCAGGATTATCAAAACCCCGAGGCAGAACGGGAATTCAGGGATCGTGTATTCAATCCTGACATTCTTTCCACTGCAATAACTGGTACTAATTCTTACCGAAAAGAGAGATCGCCTTCACCCAAACAGCCACTTCCAACGATTCAAGAGCTTCAAGCACGTAAGTGATCATAATAATTTTTTCGAGTATAAAAATTTTTATGTTTTGCACAAGTCAAATGGAATTTTTTCTCAGTGGGCGTTATTCATAAATATTTTCACGGCACATTAATGATCTCATAATTAGTATGAAATAAAAAAAGAATCTGAAAAATGATGAAGACCCGTTGAATCAAAGTCTATGATATTCTGGGTGGGACGATAAACACAATAAGCCATGAATCCGCGAATTTAATTATTCTGAAAATATCGGTGTAATGTTGCACATGCTGGACACGATAGAGGCAGCTGGGGACATTGAGGTAAATCAGTTGATACAACGATTGGCAGACACCGAGGCAGCGATGGAAAGAATTGTCGTACAAATGGGCAATTTGTCACGTACAATCGTACAAAATCCCCAGTGCACAGATACACAGGTTCTAAAAGACTCATTACGAACAATTTTTTTCCCAATATATGATATGTCTTTGTCATTGATAAAGAATGAAACTTCAGTTTTTTTTTCTAATTTTTGCATTGATATCAAAATTACGAAACAATTTTTATGACATGGAAAGGTTTTTTTATATTAGAAATTAGACCTTGCACGTTGGTGTGTTCTAATTGTCCCTCATGCTTTCAACTTTGCCGTGAAACATGATCATCATTATTTATAATTTATTCTTACCAGTGAAATTCAATTCCACAGCGAAGTAGAAGTAAAAAAATAAAGATAAACCAGAAACTGGATATTGATTATACCGCCAGTTTTTCGATGATTGATACAGAAATAATTATAAAAATAATTACGCAATTATAGCGGTTCTACTTCTCCTATGAATTCTTCACTCGGTGCAACATGTGTCGAATAGGATAGAAAAAATAGGATAAAAAATAGTAAAATGTATGATTTTCATATTTTGAGTAGTGGATGAAGCTCCAAATTCCAACGGTCCGGCGGGGGTTGCCCTAAAGTCAAAGGTAACCAATCAATGGAACCGATGAGTGTTCTAACAGCCGAAAAAAAATTATTATCGATGTAATCCCGTTGGTTTCAATTGAATTTTCAACCACTTTATTATTTCAAGAAATCCGATTTACGTTAATTTTTGTATTACTCCAATTTTTTCGTTTATTGGCGCTTATGCGATATTATTTAATAACATTGTGGTGGTTTAAATAATTGAAGATATGAGTACACTGGTTTCACATGTGTTCTGCGTGCATGGTCGTGCGATTTTGCAATATTACAGCAAATAACTCGTTGAGAAGACAGACCAGTCCTCTGACGCTTCTTTGGTTTTATCAAATGGAAAATGAAGATGGAGTTGATAAACGGCGTATTTCTCATTTCAGGGGGAATATTTGGATAAACAGTGTTATCAGGGTGAAGATGGAATGGGGGAAACCGATGACTCAGGGTCGGCGATGAAGGTCATGGGAATGGAGATGACAGCTACTTCTGAGAGTGGTCAGAAAATTAGTCGACCCACTACACCGATTTTTCCTGATGGACACAGGTACTCTCTCGTAAATTACGAGATTAAAATCGCGAATACCAATTACAATATTGAATTCTCAATTAATGAGATCGGAATTATAAGTTATGAGTTTGAAATCATTTCGTTTTCAACGGCATGATTAAGGAATTCAAATCTCGTTGCTCATGAGTTCAAAGTCGTAATTTGTGTTTGGATTTTTTTGTGAAGAAATTTAAGAACAAATATTGATAAATTAATTGAAGGAAATTCAGGAATTTTTCGTAGCAGTCGAATGATATTTAATTGATTTTTAACTCATCGAAGATAACAATGGAATTTTTCTTCCAATTTTTCATCTTTTGTTTGCAGTTCATGACGGATGAGATCTCGTCGTTTTTTATTTGTCGAGATATTTTTCCATTTTTTTTTCTCTTTGATCCATTCTCTCTAATTTACATTGAAATTCGCGGGGAATTTCAATCGAAATTTTTGCAACGTCCGAACGAACGGAACTTCGTGTGGTATTTCAGGAACTTTATTAACAAAAAAAAGAATCCAATGAGGATCACTTTATTGTGAATTCTATGAAAATGTGGAATCCAATTATTCGCGGACAGGATGAGCGCCATTATAGCCAGAAATATTCTACCTTAATTTCGATGCAAATTCCAAGAATACTTGACGTATCAAAAGTTAAATCGGGCAACCGCTAATTATTATCTGTTCGATGCTGGACGACGATATTCTTAAAGAATCGAAAATTTCACGTATTCCCATTTCATTTATAAAAGATAAATATTTTTTTATTCCCAAAATATTAATAATAAAAAATCCAGATGAATCTCATCGAAATAGAAATATTCCTATCACAACGGTGAATACCTGAATGCCAGTTCTAAATATTGGTGAAAATCTATTGAATTTTTCATCATCAATTTTTTAGTAGGGGTGATTGATTGAGAGCTATAGGAAATGCGATTATAGAAATTCTCGTTTTTGTTAGTATCGGAGATATTTTGAAAAAAAAATCACCGAATAGCTAAGTCGATTTATCTCCCGTTAGCACTTTGCTACTGATGTATTTATCAGTCACTCCACTTGACATTTTTCGTTCCAAGTGTTTCTCTGTGAGTCTTGTGGTACTTGTGCTTCGCTAGAGGCTGTCGTGGTCTTCCATCCTCTTAGAGACGTTCGTACCTAATCCCTTTTGCAGTGGCAGTGCCCTGGACTATTAGAGAAGCCACTGGATCCGAGCCGTCGCCAAACATGCATTCTATTTAATTTTGAATGAGTCCGTAGAAAACTGTCTGGCTGAGATAAGTCGATTTTATTTCGAGTGCACAAGAGATCATTAAATATCTGCAGAAATTGTCTGTGTAATGTTGACATTTGTAAATCCGTTTTATTTGTAATGCAAATGAAAGATTAGACACATAAATTGCCACACGAGAACTTTCGGTAAATGCATCTATATTTTCAACATTTCCTTCCGTTCATGAACAATAAACTTATCAATTATAACTTGAAACAAAATTTGAATCGGGATGGAGTGCTATTGACATTATCACCGTAACGTAAAATGTAATTTTCCAGCCCGGAAGAACGTGAGAGGACACCGCCGAAGCCAATTTATCTCGAGGGTACACTTCCACCTCAATGTGAAATACTGGTATCAGACTCGGAGACGCAGGAGGAAAGCTCCGAGGAAAATTCCGAAGCTGCCATCGTATTGTCAAGCAAAGTGACACTGTCTCTCATCAGTCACGATCAGAATTCACCTGTAAGGAAGTATTAAAATTAATCATCAGTCACAAATGAATTCTACGGAGCCTAGTTATTATTTGGTGATTCTTCAATTCATTTAATATTTTATCGCATTTAATTATCTTTTTTATTACTATCACAGAACCATTAACAATTCAGTTGCCATTTCCAATGCTTGAAGTAATTTGTTTCTATGTTAGAGGCTTCGGAAATTAACATTTTATCTGGCTGCAAAACATAATAGAAAGAATGCCAAAGTTTCGATCCAGGTATCAAAGTAATCTTCAATTTTTCAATTCCCTAGGACTCCATAGACTCGATTGAGCATTCGAATGAAGATGGAGAAATTTTAGCGAACGACGAAGCGGGGAAAATGCAAAATAGCGAAATACCAGCGACTAGGTTGATTGATGAAGAAGAGATTAATGTTATCAGTGATGTGAAAGATGAAGAGGAAATTGTAAGAGAACAACATGATAATGAGGAAACGTTTGAAGGAGCTGTGGGAGATGGAGAGGTGGAGGGAAAATGTGAAAAGGAAGATGGAGTGGCTGAAGGTGCGGAGCAAGTGAATGAGATTGAAGGAATAAATATGCTAGGAGTAAAACAAGGGGAGGAAGGGAGTGATGAGGAGGAAGAGGGTGATGTTGATGAGGAAGAATACACGGATAATAAGAGTTTGAAGAGAACGGGCGGGGAAGATGAAGGGGAGGAGGAAGAGGAAGAAACGGAAGGAGAGGACGAGGAGAAGGAACCAGTACAGAAGGTAATTCACCATAAAGATTTGAAAGTAATCCAGAAAGAGGAGACAGATGAAGAGGAGGGGGAAGATGAAGATGAAGAGGAAGAGGAAGAGGAAGATGAAGAGGAAGGGGAAGAGGAAGATGAAGAGGAAGAAGAAGAGGAAGAGGAAGAGGACGAAGAAGGAGAACAAACCGAAGTGCAAAAAATCCAGTCCAAAAAATTTACCGGTATCGATAAATTGAAGGGTGTAAAAATGTCTCCTGAAAATAACGATAATGACGGAAGCCAAGAGGAAGATGAAGAAGATGATGATGGTGATGTTGAAGATAATAGTGAAGAAGATGCGCCAAAGGAAAAACGATAAACTGTCAATTGAAAATCGAGTTAATTGAATCGAATTTTCCATTTATTTGGTACGATTGTAAAAGTTCAAGCAAGAATTGTTATTTCATTTTTACTAGTCTTTTGGCGAATAATCCTGAATCTCCTCCGTATTGCATAGATTTTCACGAGTAGTGGAATATGGCAGAATCTTATCCTCTGAATACCATTAGACTTCAACAATAACGTGATTTCACTCATTGAATTCCGAAATTTTCCTAACGATTTAATTCACGAGTAAAAATAATAAAACATTTGACCGGAGATAGCGAGTGAGAAATGTTGGATATTTTTCATTTAAAAAAATGTTGAGAATAATGGATTCAGGAATAATGTAGATTTAATGAAAATGTTCACGTTTCTTGTATTGATTATAAAAAAAGTTTAGAGTGCAGCCAACTTTATACAACAAATCATTTACACATATTTAACTGGAAAGACCTAGTTATTAGATAACGAGGTAAAGTTGATTGTTACTGATCCCATCCAAGTCCCGTGTTGAGTATCTTCCATTATTGTTATCAACAATTGAATGCTCATCAATGTTTTTGATCTAATAAATACGAAGGATTAATTGATTATCGTTATTCATTGAATTGTGCAACCCAGATTATTCATTCGGTTTGGAGGAATTATAATTCTGCATATGAAAGCAAGTTTATTGTTATTTTTACCATTATTAATTATAATTATTCAAATCAATACAAATTTAATTGATTGTGAAACAGAATCACCATTGATTCACAGCTTTTCAAATGAATTGAAATAATGAAATCAATAGAGATTATCAATACACACTGAATTAAAGCCAATGGCATAAATGTTTCGCTGATTTCATAATGTTCATGCATTATGAGAGATTGGAATCAATGGAATTAATTACTGGAGTTGTCATCTGCAAGTACACAGTATCAAATGCAAAACGTCCAACACCGGAAAAACAAGTAAGTGAAATGAATATCACTACTATCAGTCCTCACCCCCTCCGTTCCCTTCATTAAACTCCACATTAATTACTCAGCAATTTGTACTCATTTCCTGATTATTATTATCACTGCTACTTGTCCTCTATTACCCCATTGATTTTCAATTTATGAAACATGAAGCGCGAGAATTTCTGCCAGAAAATCATTTCATCAAAGATTTACGTCTCGAGTAGAAATTCATTGACATCAATTTTCCATTCCGCGAATTAGCCTCGACGTCATTAATAGCCGTGAATAACTGATGGATCAATTATACCCGCTCTTTAGATTTTTCCAGGAACGTGAGTTGCATGTTGAAAGGAAATTCGAGAAAAGGGCATTGAATTCACGAACTAGTGAATCAAATTGCAGGATTGATGATTGAGTTAATTATCCATAGAAATACTGATCCCTGCAACAATTATTTTTTTTTCGAATGAATTTCTCTCGAATTAGAAAAGAAAAATCGCTGATTTTTTTTTCTGAGTGTGCGATGGCCGTACGAAATAGAATGGCAATAATTAATGTATGTGAATGAATTTTGAGAGATGAATGAGAGTGAGACCTAGGCCTTTGGTTGGATAGTAAGTGATAAATTTCCCGATGAAGTCATGAATTATCGAAACTAGCCGTACTATTTACCAAGTACACACAATGATGATTATCAGTGGAAGTAGTGGGGCAGAAGAAAGAGAAGAGTAGGAAGATAAACGAATGACCCTCGCCCTCGTCAATGACCTGGATGATAGTCTCTCGACGAGTTTACTGACGCATTTACGTCAAATACGAACGAAATTAGTCGGCAGCATGTCCATTCAACCGAGCGTGGAATAAATTAGTTTGGCTTAATCCATCCATAATTCAGTCTGTGTTACTCTTCATTGCCATTAAAATGAAATTAATTAAGTTATTACTTTTATTTTTCTCCACTCACGTGTGCACCAGTGATTCCATTAGTGATGGTACAGAGAATATATTTTTCTATCGTTACAGAGAGAATGGATTAATTACACTTTAAAATAGTCCAGGCAACACGTACCATTCGAATTTCTGGGTGAATTAGTGTTTGATTGTGATTCTAGATGAGACAAAACGACAATTGGCACAGGGGGAACAGCGAATCGGTGATCACATCCGAATGATTTTGAAACATTATCAGCAGGATGATCCAATTGGACTTCCGGGTGCACCAATACCCGATCCTATGTCTATACCTGAATTGAAACAGACATTTACAGCGGTTACTATGCATTTTACTGATGTTAATGTCTATGGGTTATCGAAATTTCGAATTGCCAATATTCATTCGGAATTGGCGCAGATGCAGGTGAGACGAAAAAATTCATTTCAATCTACGGTATCAAATTCTCAATTAATAATATCAAAAAAAAAATTACATGATTGAATTTATTACGCCAAGGTTGATTTTTTTATTCTACCAACGCCAATTATCGCCTATCAATTAATTAATTAATTATTCCTCATTATATTACAATTATGATCATTTTTTTTCAATTGTACTCACGTCCTATCAAGTTTCATTATTTTTTATATCAAATATCTGTCTGTTAAAATTGGATTTTTGCAATAACAATTTGAATACGTTTTTTTAATAGGTATCAGTCGAGCTGACAATTGATATTCTCAATATTCGTGGGCTTTATAATGCTGAATATCTGTGGCTAGCGTCAAATGGTAATTTCACAGTGATCCTGAAGAACGTAGCTATCCAGGGTTTGGCAAAGCTGCAAGTTGGAATCGATGGTAAACTCTACGCAGAGGACATCGATATGGATCTTACATTTGAAACTATCGACATGGACTTCACCAATCTTGATGCCATAGCTTCGTTCTTTCAAAGTTTTGTTAATTCACTGGGATCGTTCTTGTTTGACAGCATCAAGCCCTTCATCCTCAAGGAGGTCAACACAAACGTAAAGTAAGCGTGTTATCGATCACTCCTATCAGGAGAGTTCATTTAATGGCGGATACATGTGCATCTATTTAAAGTTTCTATTGAGTTGTTTTGTAACCCAGAAGGGATCCATTAGAGACTTGCCCGAAGGGGTCATCCAACTTGTAACTGCCTCTGCCTGGATTAAAGTGAAGCCGTTAGATTACCACCAGTAGTTCAGTCTATGGGGGAACTGTCTCAGGGTCATTATCTTTTCCGGTGTAATCGATAAATTTTTATGAATTCATGTCAGTCAATTGTGCATCAGTCTAAAATTATTACCAGTAAAAATTCGTTCGATTATTATAATTTTACAATTTTGTTTACCGATTTTTTGGATTTTCTGGATGGAGTGATGGAATTTCGGTTATGACATGACGTTTTTTCGATTTATCAGGAAATATGAATATACATGTATATATATATGATATGTATACATAATGAGAGGGAAAAACTTATTTTCTCAGCGTTAAACCTGATATTGTACTCTTTGAAATGTTTCAGGGGAGAAGTAAACAAGCAAATATCTCAGTTACCTCAGTATTTTCCAAACTCAATTTCACCCTTTGATATGGCTGTTGCCGAAGCCAGGAAACAAGTATCCGATATGGGATACGATCCGTACAGGATTAAAGATTATTCACAGAGTGGAGGAATTTTCACTGTCACATCAACCCATACATGGCTTACCGGACTAGCAAGTTTTTATCGCATGGGAAATATTACCCTTACTATGGAAAACGGCACGGTAAATGTTTCTCATTTATTCTGCGGTGGTTTTATTATTTTCTCCCGTATTTTATTAGCTCGGTGCTCTTTCCCAAATCCTCCTGTCTTTTATGCCATTGTCAATGGAAAAACTACGACGAAATAAAATACGCTGAGCGTATTAACTTGATCTTAAAACCTTCCGAGGTAAATGGATTTAGAAATTTAAAGGCTGAGGAAAGGAGAATTGCGGTTTTCCTCCCAACAATCGTAAACACTCCGCAATCGATTCAGTTTGTTTTTTTAATATTATATTTGAAAAAGTCAACCGGAAACGGAAAGAGCTCACATTGTAATTAATTTTTTGAATTAATCACCATGATTATTTGATTATGTACATTATTATTAGATATTTTTTGCATTATTGGTTGGTAATTAATAGATGATAAGGGAATGGCCGTATTATATTAAATCGTGAGTAATTGGGTGTTCTGATAATGTTTCTCTAATGTCAAATCATATGAAGGTGTATGCTGTAGTGGACGTGGGTACTCAAGAGATTGAGGGCAGGAGCCACTGGGAAGTTAGTGTGATCGGTGGATTTCTGTCTCGAGCCGGAACCGTCTCGTTTACGGTTCAGTATTTTCGTGTTCAAGTGAAATTGAGTCAGCCGCTGGATACCAGGAAACGTGCTTCCCTGGAGGAGCTTAATCTTGAGCTTGGCAATATTCAAGCAAGGATACACGGTGCTGGTACCCTAGATTATCTTATGGAGGCTGGGATAAACGTACTACCGAATTTATTGAGGTAAATATTTTATGTATCCATTTTTTTTGTCGCATTATTCACAACATATTGAATCACGTAAATCCAATTCTATTTTTGCGGAGTGAGTTTCGGGGGTTTCCCCAGTTGCAGTCGAGCGGACAAATTGTATTGGCGAATATTTCGTTTGTGGAAATGATATACTGAGTCGGAAACTTTGGAGTTGTCATTTTTTTGGAGCAATATGATCTATGAGGAATTTGGTGGTCTCGAATTATTGATAAAATAATTTTTTCACAGGAAAATATTTATAATTTTAGGTTTAAAATTCGTGTACGTCTCTGATCATCATCAGCTTCTCATTTTTTTATGGAGGAAGATGTCACGTATTTTTATCGTTTTCAATTAGGCTCGAGTATTGGAGAAAAGTTGACAGAAAACATGAATTTTGTTTTTTAACTCTCGAGGAACTCTTTCAACTCTGAGTTATATCACATAGTTGTATTATTTGCAGAACTTTCGGTGTCCTTTACATTCAATCCTCTTTTCTATTGGAATTTCTGTTCTCCTTCCACGGCTAGCTCAACTTTCCTTTTATATTTAAAGTTGCTTGTTTTATGTTGCGCATATTTTTATTTACACTCCATTTTATGTACACCAGGAGTAACGTAAAGAATTTGAATTACGTAATTGTGGAAATCGCGATAAATTTATACACTTTGATAGAGTGCAACGACTTTGAGGCGAGTTGGCCAATAATCTGAGTGGAAGATAGAGCGAGATAATTAGTCGGTAAAAAAAATTATATTCACTGGAAAAATTGCGAAAAGTTTAAAGTAAAAATTTTCATGCATTAAAAATGGAATTATCCATTTCTTGTGTCAAACTGTCAAAGATAGTCTGCAAATATTTCTCTCTGAGAATATCGAATGTAATAATCAATTATAAATAATGGAATTAATTAACAGTCAAGTGGTTTCACTCGAGTGAGAAAACTCGGTCAAACAAAAATATGGAGTTGCTGGGTGAAAATAGTAATGCATGCACGAGAATTTCAGTTCTAATTACTAAGGATTGAGGGAGAAAAGACGAGATTTATTTCTATCCACATGAGACTCACTCGTGAGCCCTCATTTATTTTAACTGTTATTTTTCAAGGTATCAAATAATGGACGCCATTGAGGGGC